GGCAGCACGGTGGAGATGGTTCTTTAATAACGTCGTATTTAGTATAGTTAGGTAACTAGTTAGTAATGTAGTACAAAATTGTTTCCAATCCATTCTAATCGGGTCAAAGTTAAACACAAACAATCCTTTTAGAGTTCATCTTTTAATCCTAACTACCGAACTCGACACAAAACTAACAGATTACTAGTTATATTCACACTAACAGTTGTGGATTGTGGTATGTTCAGAAGCAATTTAAAACTTTCCCGAACCCCTGACTTCGAGGTGAAGGCAACCTGCGTTGCCCCGCATATGTTCATAGAAATCAGAGCTAAAGTTTTATCCAGCAACGGTTGGCATGCTTAAGAAGACTTCGAGAACAGCTCTTTAAATGGAGTAGACTGTATTTTAATATTTAACAAAGTAAATATTATATTAAAATATGTTAATAGTCATATCTATTGGCACTTCGTGGTACTTTTTAATATTATTAGAAAAAAATTTATACTCTTCCATACTAAAATTGTTATAATAAATACCAGCCTCGTTTAAAGACAAAGTGCAAACAAGTGAAGCTTTTAAATTGATAGAAATAGATGGGTAGAGCAAATTTGATAGAAAAAAATATATCAGGTAATTTTTAAAAATCATCGGAACTGGTATGGAAATATATGTATTTATTAGAAATATCATATATTATCAAATATTATAAAGAAAAACTTTAAAAGAAATTTCCACTTTCATAGTGTAAAGACATATGTCCGTAATCTCACAACTCCATCCAAATACATGTTTTAAATACACTGTTGGGACTAAGTGCGATGATTTTTTACATGTAAACAAAGCGAAAGTTTAAAATTAAGTTTCTGGTATCGGTTATTACATCCTCTCATCATTATACTATTAGTGCCAATGGGGTTTCTTAAAAAATATAACTTTCTTCTATTCTTTTTTCTATACATTAATTTTATTTATGCAACTTGGAATGGCAACAATCTGACGGTGCACCTGATGGAAAGTGGTAACTGTTGCCTATAAACATAAGCAGTACCATGGACATAACAGAGTGTACTGTTTTGCCCATGATACCCCCATGTGTATTCTTGAAGACTCAGGTGTTATTCCTCTGCACCTTGTAAATTCACTGCCATATCCCACCCTTCAAACCGAAATACATTACATGTTAATGTACGTCCATCTATAAATTCTATCCGTGATAGGATCGCTATTACTATTGATTACGTAATTCCTGCGCCATAATATTAAACCATAAAATATCTTCTTCCATCGATATCACAAATGATCGGAAAATTACGAAACGAGTGATAGGTATGATAGTGAAATTATATTACCCAATTTCATTAGTTTCTAATCTAATCGTCTTAAATATTTTATCATATGATCATAATCTATGCCCCATGTATACGACTCCACTTCTTCTAGAGTACTGGAAATCATAAATATAAAGTGTGTAAGAAACTCGACTAGTTCTGCGTGCCTCCAGACTAACTTCTGCATAATATTATCCGAATAGCGAGAAAGCAAATCGAAGGAAACTTGGCGACTCCATTGTGGTCCTCGTCACAATCTAACCCGAATTTACATTTAAATGAGGACGATTATTCCCTTGTTTGAAGGGATTAAGTTTTAGAGCACTTCCTGATTTTCGTGTCCGCGCAAAGTTGTGTAATTACTTTATTGGTGAATTCATAGATATAGATTTGTATAGATGTCGCATTTACATATACTTCGCGTGTACTTTGCTAACATCAAAGTTTGGTCTTTTAATAAGATCAAAAGTGCCTATTTGACTCTAGCTAAATATAACGTGCATATTGAGAACGTAGAAATACCACGTATTACTACTCTTTTTTTATTACTTGGATTTTGTAAGAGGAACTAAGGGAACAAAGCAGAATACGCCATAAAATTCAAAATAAAACAATGTACAAAGCCATTTGATCAGTGTCTTCTTATAAAAGAAACCCGTTAGCGAGGAGCATTACAAGGTTATTAAGGAACGTTTAAATGTCTTTCGATTCGGAGTTCTTTAATAAAATATATACGGAACAAAGTTTACGGAATAGCATTATATTCGACATTTAGAAAAAAGGATTCGGTAGATGTTTTCTGATAATAAATTACTTTTTAAACATCACGATAACTAATTTAATAGTGACGCAATTTATTATTGTATAAATTAAAGGACTTGCGTCGTCTTCGTCTATCTATGTCTGTGGACTCCAAAATTATAACTGGTTTCCGAAAACACGGGGCGATGAGTTGTTTCTAAGATTACAAAATTGTAACTTTATTATGCGAAGAGAACGATGTTTCATGATTAATGAATTGATTATGGTGTTTTTGATATCGGTTTTGAACAGATTCGAAGTATTGTTGAAAACCTTTTTTATTTTATTGTTCTCACAGCATTTTGACATTATATATTATAGCAAATTTTGGTATGATATGAAAATCATATCTTTATAAAATTATATCTAATGTTATTAATATTACAGATACGAAGATTTCTAAAGTGTATTTTATTTTAGTCAATGTTTAATTAAAGTACTAATAGATATTTTTTTAAATAAAACATAACATTCATTATAATTATTCAAATAAAATTTATTTATTTTTATTAAAGTAAGACCAATATCTAAAATGTTTTATAATACAAAAGAAAGTAAAATTAAATATATGATGAATATATATATATATATATATATATAATAAAATTGTAACTAGTCTATATCTGTATGTGAGAAATATTGTTGTGAGCCGTCTTAATAAGAGCAAATGGCAAAACAATAAATTTAAAAAATTTTGTCAGTCTGTATTGAAACTTAAATATTAATAAATAAAACTTATATATACTATAACTTGAAATATATGATGAATATATATACAACTTAGAATGGCAAACAAGCTGACGACCCACCTGATGGAAAGTGGTAACCGTCGCCTATAGACATGAGCAGTACCATGGACATAACAGAGTATACTGTTTCGCCCATGATACTCCCCATGCGTTGCCATTCCTGAGGAATCAGGTGTTATTCCTCTGTACCCTGTAAATTCACACCATATCCCACCCTTCAAACCGAAACACAGCCATGCAAACACAACTACTTCACGGTAGAAACACGAATGGGACAGAGGTACCCAAGCAATCGATTATTATAATATAATTATATATTATATTTTATGATATATTATAATTATATAATAAATCAGAACAAGCAATATCCTTATATATATTATATATGTTATTAAAAATATTGTTTCTACGAATTAAATCTTTTGCCCTTTATACTGTAATGTAATAGATGATTCACGCTAATAAGTGTGGGTTTCTTTCATGTATGCAATATTTTATATCTATAAAAGAAATTATAAGAAATCATGCAATCATTTTATTAAGTGGCCTCCTACTTATATTTTTTTCTTAATGTACTTGACAATTTTTTTTTATTTGTTTAATAAACCAAAAATAAGATATAAAATCTGTTTGGTACTATCAAGGTCTATGTATATTTTGTTTAACTGAAGTGTGTGCGTGATTAAAATTAGTCTTTTATTTTTATTAGTTTAATAAACAAAAAAATAAGGCATAAAATTTGTTTAATACTATCATGGTCTAGATATATATTTGACTAAAGTGTGTATATTTGACTAAAAGTCTAGGTATTAATTAACTAAAGTATTTTGTCATATTTAAATAATATTATCTATCTAATACGTGAAGCAAAAACTTTGCACCCCTTTTTACGAAAATTGCGCGGACGGAGGATTATGAAATTTCACACACTTACAGTTTATACAGACAAGGAGCGCAGAATGCTAATATTTTTTTTAAATTACGCACAAAATATACATTAAATCAAGAAAAAATATATTACCCACACTACCATGTATTTGACACACACACGCGCATATACTCTTTTGTTTATTGTTAAAGTCTGTAGTCAATTTGAAAATAGTCTAATTGTGTTTATCATTATTATTATTTTTCTATAGTCTTACTGAATGTCAAACATAACCATAATAAATTCATTTATTACAACATATGTTATGGTCGAATTTCGACCATTGTACGACCACTAGTGATAATAAGTAATCAAGTTTAAAAACTATATAAAATATCGTCTGCATGGGTTTGTTTGATTCTTTTATATTTATATACTTCTTTTTAATTGCTTGTACTTTAATTTAAAACACGGGATGCACACTGAGAACGAAGACATGAAATATACTATATATTGCAGAATAGATTCTGTAATTCCCATAGCACCCATAATTAATACTAATAATGGGGACTCCTGTCCCCATAATTTTTTTTTTATACAACTTAGAATGGCAAACAAGCTGACGGCCCACCTGATGGAAAGTGGTAACCGTCGCCTATAGACATGTGCAGTACCATGGACATAACAGAGTATACTGTTTCGTCCATGATACGCCCCATGCGTTGCCATTCCTGAGGACTCAGGTGTTATTCCTCTGTACCCAGTAATTTCACGCCATATCCCACCCTTCAAACCGAAACACAGCTATGCAAACACAACTGCTTCACGGTTGAAACACGAATGGGACAGAGGTAGCCAAGCAATCGACTTTTGTAGAAAGTCTCCCTCTGGTGTTGTTCTCATATTATTAATAATATGTGAACAACAGTAATATTCCCCTCCCCCATGAGTCAGGTGCTCTGAGTTATGCTGCAAGATCTTCTTTTACTTCAAGTAGCATATAATCCAAATACGAACATCGAACAATTGATGCGATTTTATGACACAACACTGTTATTTATTATCAAATAATTATAAAAAATTCGTGAATTAATTAATATAATCAGGCTCGCACTTGCAACACAGCCGCTCATGACTAAAGCTCCCGAATGGTTCTGAAACTAGTCGAGCTTTCTCAACTAACAACACGTAAATTAAACCAGCAGTTATTACATTAAAGTATAATGTGTATTTACGAAAATTTTAACAATGAAATTGTTATATTTGTTACAGTCTGAAGTAAACGGCAAGTTGCCATCGGAAGACACATCACATCATACGTCCACTCCCGACAAAGCGAAATGGGGCAGGCCGTTAGAATTCATATTGGCCTGTCTGGGATACGCGGTCGGATTAGGAAATATATGGAGATTTCCTTATTTGGCCTATAGGAATGGTGGCGGTAAGTACAAGCATAAAACTCCATTATATATTTTACATATTATCATCGTAATCATCATATCAGCCTTTAACTATCCACCACTGAACATAAACCTCCCTCTTGGGGGGTTTTGCCTGTAGTTGCCACGCTTGGTAGGCGAATTGGCAACGGCAGTCAAGCCTTAAAGATGTTTTAAGGGGGACGCTGCTACCCATCTCTCGCCCTCCCTTCGTTGCTTATTACGACACTCACGGAAATGGAAGGGGCGGTCTATTCTATGCTGGAACTTCATGGCCAACATATATAGTATATTTATTTATTTTTTCTTTCCTTCATACATATCATAGATGGTGGATATCACCGACAAATGCATTCATAAGAAGGGTTGACATCAAACAGGGGGTCAATCGTAAAACTAAAAATTAGTACCATTGATAATAAAATATTAATATGATTTTATTTCATCCGCCACTTTCTTACTTTTATTAAAGCATTATCTTCTTCAACTCTTATTTCTGATATCCATTATAATGCAATTAAACAATACACAGTTCTAATACGTAATTTTATTTCCAGGTGCTTTCTTAATACCATTCTTTATTATGGTCGTCATCATTGGACTTCCCCTGTTTTTCCTGGAGTTATACGTTGGACAGTACACAGGATTGGGTCCGTTACATGCCTTTAGCGCAATAGGCCCTTTCTTCAGTGGTCTCGGTTACTGCACACTTGTAGTGATCAGTATCATATCTATTTACTACATGGTCATCGTCGCTTGGACCCTATTCTACGTATTGACATCAATATTTGGAAGCTTAGATTGGGGATCGTGCGACAATGATTTCAATAGTGATTGTAAGTAGATCTTTATTTGTATGTCTTTTAAAATACACGAAACTATATACAGGGTTGTGAAATATAAACAATATATTATGTATTTGAAATAAACCAATACAATGAGATTTTAATACATTTGTGTGTGTGCGTGCTTGTGTGTGTGCGTGCTTGTGTGTGTGCGTGCTTGTGTGTGTGCGTGCTTGTTTGTGCGTGTGTGTGTGTGTGTGTACGTGAGTGTGTATGTATGTATACATACACATACATACACATCCCTATTAACACGTTGAGCGCCACGCGTATTTCTACAGCAATCCCGTTCAGGCCACGCGCGCCGCTTCGAAGCGCTGGTACTGCAGAAGCTGGTGTTTCCTATCGTAGTAGAAGGTAGTTTACGTTTGGAACGTGATTCCTATAGGCATTCATTGAACACGTTACGCACCAAGTCTGTTTTGTTTTCTGTAATTCCGTAAAATAGTGTAAAATTTTATAGTTCTCATGTTACACGCTGTCAGACACCGATGGCTGACGCGGCCTAAACGGAAAGTCTAGTGTCAGCCACCGATGGCTGACATGGCGCTCAACGTGTTAATATATTGAAAATTGTAGCTGATTACATAAAGGGCATTTACTAACGCGATTAATAGATCAATTTACCAAAAAATTATTATCTTTTTCCGTCAACATATATTTGTAAAATATTTATAAATGTTTATTAGAACTGCTTAAATACTCCTTTAAAAAGCATACAATTAATTACATTATCATCCAATAATCCAACATAGCCTAATGTTAAATTATTATCAAACTTCACAGTTTGTTACAGTGGCAGTTACGACAAAAACTGTCGAAGTAAGAACTTCACTGGATCTGAAACACAAACTTATTATTTGCGCACGTGCATGAGCATCGCTGATATATGCAAGAGCACGGGTTTCCAGCCCTATGACGATAAGTTCTGCTTGAATAGTACCAATGATCGGATACCATGGTACACTAACGCCACCAGGATATTGGCTTCAGAAGAATATTATAAGTAAGTATAAGTAAGTAATCTATCTACGTACATAATAGGAAAAATTGACAAATCAATGCCAATCCGGAACTGTTAGGTCTGAAAACATGATCACATCATATTTAAAATCAAATAAAGTATTTATTTGTCTTAAATAAATATTCAATAGGTTTTTCAGACTTTGGAAAAGTCATCTACTATCAGCAGCTAGCACATGGCTGTATTTTTGTCTGAAGGTTGAAATATATTTGTTAAATTACTAGATCTCATAACCCTTTATTCAGTTTCTCTATCTGTGATATTCTTTACAATTATTACTTCTGTCTATTGGAGAATGTTATCACTTTTTTTCGACCTGATGGTCTTTGGAGAGGGAGACTTTGTACAAAAGTCGTTTGCTTGAGCACCTCGTCCTATTCATGTTTCTACCGTGAAGCAGTTGTTTCCATGCCTGTGTTTCGATTTGAGAGTGAGATATGGCAGTGAATTTACAGGATACAGAAGAATAATACCTGAGTCCTCAGGAATGGCAATGCATGGGGGATATCATAGGTGAAACAGTATACTTTGGTATATCCATGGTACTGCTCATGTTTATAGCCGACGATTACCACTTTCCATCAAATGGGTCACCAGCTTTATTTTCATTTTATTTAAAAAAAAAACACCCAAAAACCAAAACAGTATTTTCTTACACTGTTAGTTACTACGAATAAACCTCAAGTCACTCAGCGAGCAGTAAAGAGCCCGCTCGAATTGTTAAATTATTACATAATTTTATTGTAGCTTATATATATAATTATGTAGATATACCTACCTATATAGATAATGTTGCATTCGTCGCGTATTTAAATCATTCGATGACAGCGGATTGATAAAGGAATCTTTTTTGTTGATATATTTTCTTAATCACTATTATTTATGTCCTAAAACAGGCTAGCAATGCAGACATAAGTGCTTATATTATGAAACTTATCGCTACTCAAATTGTTATCGTTGAGTTTTCTTCTATAAACCACATGTTCATTTGTAGGTAATTAATAGTGGATTACATTAATCTTCGATAATTTTTAATTCTTAATTTGATTTGAGACCTTTGCACGGCTGTAAGTTTACATAGATTAACAAAACGTCTGTGACTAGGTATGAAGTATGTGTACAGGTGTTGACCTTAGTGATCTAGCAGCCTTACTACATATGTTCGCAAGTTCGATTCTTGTGCAATATAATCATTTGCAAAACGTGCGTAGACGGAATGGTGGTCGGAGATTGAAGGCTAATACGAAAGGTTGTAGAACTTCTGGTAATAATAATAGTAGTCAATCTTAGAGTGTTAGCAGACGCACGCGTACTAATGGTAGCGGAATTAAACAAAATAATTCTAATCAACTAACCAGTGATATAGATTTCTCCAAAATACATATAGAAATAAATAAATTGAGTTCAGTAAGATATTTACAATCATTTGTATTTATGTTGTATGACTGTTTTTATTGGTCTGTGTATTTTTTATCTATTATATATGTATGTACCTATCTATAAATTCTTTTTCTATCAGTTGTCTTGACGTTCATAGTAAACAAACTCTGCTTAGTTTGGAACTAGATGTTTCTATGTAATATACCTATCCAAAGGTACTTATATATGTTAAACTAGCGGCCCGTCCCGGCGTCACACAGGTGGACATTTTGACATTTTAAAAAGTGGCCATTAAGGCTGCACACGCGACGATAGCTTAAAAATGGAGTAACTTCTCTCGTTTTCCTAACATTTTCCTTCACTGCTCTGCTCCTAATAGCGTATTGTATAGCGTAATGAAAAGTATACAATAACCTGCCCAGGAGTATGAAGAATAATTGTACCAAGTTTCGTTAAAATCCGTCGAGTAGTTTTTGTTTCTATAACGAACATACAGATAGACAGACAAAAATTTTACTGATTGTATTTTTGGCATCAGTATCGATCACTAATCACCCCCTGATAGTTATTTTGGAAATATATTTCATGTACAGAATTGACCTCTCTACAGATTTATTATAAGTATAGATTTCGACTCCCACTTTTATTATTTATCTACTAAAAAAAGCTTTTACTTCGATCGCACCAACGACATTATATTTTCTTATTTAATTTTTTTTTCATTAATTTTTATTTATTTATTTATTTATTATAATTAATACATGTATTTATTTATTATTATAATTAACACTTTATGCAACCAACATTACAGAACTTTTTGAAGAATTTTCAATAAAATACTAGAGTAAAAGTTAAAAAATATTTCACATCTTAAAATTTGATAACTTATTGCAGTTCTTGGTTCACAGTGAACGTGTTCTGGGCAGAGGTGATGCGACTTGGGAAAATTGGGGCAAAATCCAATGGCATTTAGTCGGTACACTTTTCCTATCCTGGGTCATCGCCTTTTTCTGCGTTATTAAAGTAAGCATATGGCTTCTATATTTTATTTTTAAGTGACCGAAATCGATCTAAAATAGTACGAATATATCATAATTAAGATGAAATTAAGGTACAGAAAATATCCTTAAATAATATAAACATATTTCGAGTTGAACGAAAGCAATTTTTTTTTAATTTAAAATCAGTTCTCATTATTTTTTTTTCTGTAACATTGACAATTTAAAAAACAGTTTACAACTATTTTCTTAATTTTGGTTAGAAGGTATTAATGATTAAATGTCGGTAGACAATTCTAGATTTACACTTATTTCAAAGTTGGGTACGACTAAAAAAATAATGCTCCACTTGGAACTATGATTATGACAGCTGATATATTTTTTCAAGTGCTTAACTTGGTACTTGTTTGATTTCTAATATTGTTTTTTTTTTTCAGGGCGTTCAATCTGCAGGCAAAGTGGTTTATTTCACTGCCTTATTTCCATACATAATGTTGACTATTCTATTAATACGAGGAGCGACTTTGGAAGGTGCTGGAGATGGAGTCTTGTTTTACCTGTCTCCTTCTTGGGAGCTTTTGTTGGACGCCAGAGTCTGGGGAGATGCAGCTTCACAGGTATTCTATATCTGATCTATCTATATTTTATAGCCAATGAGCAGGTTATAAATTCTTCTATTATACCTATAACTAGCCATTTAGATCCCGGCATAGAATAGGCTACCTTTTCTTTTCCTATAGGTAAATAAAACATCACAAAAATTCAAACTACGGTTGCCAATCCGCCTGCCAAGCGATGCAACTACTAGCAACCCCTTTTCTTTATGGGGAAAGCTATATTTAGCAGTGGACAGTCAACGATTAATATAACAACCTATAACACAATTTTCCTTCAAATATCTCTAGAAATAAGATTTAATACTTTTACAATTAATAAAACCTAAGAGTTTTCCAAAAAATTTTAAGAAAGATACGTTGTTATATGACAAATGTTATATGACAAAAAAACACCCAAAAATGTAAATGATATTTATCTAGCTATACATTAATATACTATAGTTCCTTATGATGACGAAATAAAAGGTAATGTATTGCTCCTTTAGATACATAAGGATGCAGGGCCGTAGCTAGACCCAAGTTTAAGGTAGGGCAAAAAATTTTGGTAGAGCAAAGCTATAATTAAGTAACTTCGAAAAAGCGAGTATTTGTTTTTTTATACAACTGAGAATGGCAAACAAGCTGACGGCCCATTTGACGCAAAATGGTAACCGTCGCCTATAGACATGAGCAGTACCATGGACATAACAGAGTATACTGTTTCGCCCATGATACCCCCCATGTGTTGCCATTCCTGAGGACTCAGGTGTTATTCCTCTGTACCCTGTAAATTCACGCCACATCCCACCCTTCAAACCGAAACACAGCCATGCAAACACAACTGCTTCACGGTTGAAACACGAATGGGACAGAGGTACCCAAGCAATCGATTTTTGTACAAAGTCTTCCTCTGGTAAATATTTAATTTTCTTGAAGCATTTTAAGATAGTGCATTGCTTCTAAATGTCCTCCCCTAGCTACGGTCATGTAAGGATGTAATACTTCTGACCAAGTTAAAGTCAAATTCAAAAAGTCGAAGTAAAATCCTATACCAAACGCCCACCCAGCTTAGATATAAGTAGAAGGATTTTTATCACGGATAAAAATGGAATGATAACCCTACCTGCACTAGGTACGGTACGGTAGACGCTGACTAGCCACCAATGAGAAATAATGGGCGAGGATGAAAACAGGTCAGTTAGTCCAACATGACAAAATCCATAAGAATTAACTAGGATATTTTCTAGGGAGAACCACGTGCAAGTCGACCTGATAACGAATATCGCTAGCAATAGAGCTGTTAGAACCCATTACTGACTTTCCCTTTCCCTCAATAGTAGCTGATTATGTGCTCAAATGATAATATGGTGAAACGATAATGGGATAATACAATATTCATAATGATAAGAAATGTTTATTTATTTTGTACTTTTGTACACATTAAAATATGTCTACAGGGCGGACTTAATGCCTGATGGCATTCTCTACCAGTCAACCGTTACGCTAAACAGAGAGAGTAAATGGCGGCGCATAGATATAAAAAAAATATTGTAAATCAAATAAATTAGTTGAAAAATTACAACAATTTATGATAAATATACATACAATGTGGATAATAAACTAAATTAATAAAACGCATTATAAAATCATACCATTCATGCCAATAAGGCCATTCTTGGACTTTGCATTTTTTTCTAACATTTTCCATATAATGAAGCGTTTTGCGCAAAAATATCAAGAATCTCGAAACAAACATCAATTTAATCGGATTGATGTATCCGACAATTTCGTCCCTAATGGTTCCTTAAATAAGTAAATAGACCATCTAATTAACTCGAAACTTGGGGTAGAAACGATAAATATAATTATTTCTGGTCGCTGCTTTTAAATGTTTTCATTGGGAAGTTCTGAGATTAGTCTAATTTAGTTAATCTGTTTAATATAGGTCATGTTAACAGAGTTGCCACAAAATCTAAATATACAGCTCTTTATAATGATATATATATATATATATATATATATATATATATATATATATATATATATATATATATATATATATATATATATATATATATATAAACAGATTAGCTAAATTAGATTATATACACATATCGTCATAGTCGTAGAATACTGACGGATCTTTATATTTAATATTTGTCAGATTCGTCAGTATTCTACGACTATGACGATCATCATCTTCCTACCCCTATCCCAATCATTTGAGGTCGGCGTAATATGATTTTATCCATATTACAAAAAGATTTGGTTTTTAATTTAACGACCGGCCACCTGCCTGACGTCAACCCTCTTTGGGAATGACTATGACGATATATATATATAATATTTTTTGAAAATTAAAAACAGATTACAATTATTGATAATTATAGTAGTCCATGGATAAAAGATTTCTAAACATCAGTTAAGTGTCATTGCTTTGCATTTGGCCTTTTTTGCACATTACATTGCATATACTCTGTCAGATTGACCTCCACGTGGTACTACTTGGAAACCATCGTGCTGAATTTCAGATTTATTCATCACGATGTACTAACTAACCTGCCTTTTCATTCTCAGACCAGAGGGAGACTTTGTACAAAATTCGATTGCGTGGGTACCTCTGAAGGGTGGGATATGGCGTGAATTTACAGGGTACAGGGAAATAATACCTGAGTCCTCAGGAATGGCAACGCATGGGGGGTATCATGGGCGAAACAGTATACTCTGTTATGTCCAAGGTACTGCTTATGTCTATAGGCGACGGTTACCACTTTCCATCAGATGGGCCGTCAGCTTGTTTGCCATTCTAAGTAGTATAAAAAAAAACATCCATCACTGGTAGCCCGCCAGTGTATACAGATAGCGCAGGCGGGGTTACCATTCCATAATCATGCATTAAAAAATATCGGTTAAGTAATTTTCAGTGTATCCATTACAAATAAAAAAAAACAAATCTTTCCCTTTTTATAATATTAATTTAAACATACCTACAGTATAGCTTTATCCTTTTTAGTGTTTATTCGTCTTTGAGCCGTACGATAGGCCAATCCATTATCTGCCGCTCCGATGAGAATATCTGGAAATCCCTTCTTAGAGCTCTGTAAGAAAATCCGTTGTAAAATTGCATGATTCTACATACATTAGTTCAAGCTATATGTTTTTATTATAATTGAAGCCGCCGTTAACAGCCGTTAACTGTCCACTGCTGAACATAGGTCTTTCCCATAAAGCAGGTTTTACCAACGCTTGGCAGGCGGGTTGACAACTGCAGTAAGGCTTTGGTAAAGTTTTAAGAGGCATGCTGCTACCCATCCTTCGATCATTAAATTCTCTTAGTCGCCTCTTACGATACCCACGAGAAAGAAAGGAGTGGCATATTCTATACTGGGACCACACGGCAAGCTAAATGTATATAGTGACTAACATTATTAATATATTTATAATATATAGGCTATTTCGACGCCGAAGAAACGGCTGCTCAGATAATCCTGTAAAGTGAGGCTGTGGCCCATCAACGTTTAGACATCCTCGGAACGGTGAGGTCGCTCCGTGAGGCCTGTGAAGAACCCAGGAAGCTTCTGCGCTTCTGGGCGGAGCTAGGTTGGCTGTACTAGCCACGACTCATACGCACAATGGCCCAAATGAGAGGCTAAGCGCGGAAAACAGAGTCTTTCTCACATTCACATTCACATATATATTTAATATAGGCTATATACTTGTTTGCTAACAAGCATACAGCCCATATGATCGTAAACGGTCACCGTAGTCTATGAATGCCCACAACACTAGAGATGTCACGTACCATATGCATTGCCGATTCTGAAGAAGCCTTACTACGTCCTTTTTAAAAAACCCTATCCTGTAGTCTCTAAGGAAAGCTTTTTTTTCTATTTCCCTTTATTGTGATATAATATATTCAGTAATTAAATACTATTCTCGTCAGGTCTTCTATTCCTTCGGAGTGGCTTGTGGATCGCTCGTCACACTGGCCTCGTACAACAAATTTCAAAACAACTGTCACTTTGATGCAGTTTTAGTGAGTTTCACCGACTTCTTCACGTCCGTATATGCTGGATTTGCTATATTCACCGTACTCGGATACCAAGCTAATCAAATGGGTGTCAGTATTCACGGTGAGTAAAATATTATTAATATAATAATAAGCACATATATAGATAGATACTCTTTATTGTTTCCTCCAAAAGATTACAATAGTAAACTTATTATAAATATACACAATAACGAGAAATAATCACCATATATGTATCTTCTTTATTGTACTTGTAAATTACATTGTTAATGCATTTATAAATATTGTGAGCAAGTGGACTTATCTCTGACTGAGATGTCTTCTAGTCAACCCAATATAATTGGAAAGCATGTCGTTAACGAGCAAATAAAGTGCCAACATATATATTAAGACCAACAGAGGCCAGAAACATAAATTATAGAAATTTTATCTATTTGTTTGTATGTTTATTTTGGCATCACCCCAAAATTAATGCACAAAATTGATTGCGGTTTTTACTGTTGTATTTTTTACGATCTAACTTAAAAACTGCTGTAATTTTTATCTCTCTACAAATGATCCATTTATTGACTTTCCTACATCAGTAATCCAAGTTTAGGAAGTAGTGGGTAAAAAGCTAGTATTTTATATAATAACTTCCGTTACGTCCCTTACAAGTTGTTACGTCGCCTATCTTGATAGACGGTGAAAACCAGCAAATTCAATCAAAGTCAGCGTGAAAAATACCTTTTTATGCAGTGCTTACATATATACAACATACATATCTGTCACGCCTGTCTCCTATTAGGCTAAGCAGAAACAATGGAACGCCAAATGCTTCTATTCAAACAAACCTCTTTCACTTCTTCCACATTCATCAATCTTTTTATACACACTTGCCGGTTACGGGTACTTTTAATTTGGCCCTTCTTCGGTACTTGCAGTGTTTAATATAACAAAAGAAAAATATCACAGAATAAGCCATTCCATAACTATATGGCGCAGCTCAAGTAGAAATTTGTAAACATATTTAAAAGCAGGCATTAATTTTACTAATGCAGCCACTAGAATATACTCAGGGGAGAGCAGCAATAGGGAGGTTAGTCCTCTTTTATGTCAAAGTACCCTTTAAGATTTACCTCCGTATCGTATCCCTAGAAAACTATCATGGTTAATTATTTTGATTGAATACCAAAGCATTTTGCCGATTTTAATAAAATTTCTACGAGACCAAACTAATGTGTTCTTATGTAAATGTTCTTTCATATAACAAATTATTTCTTCAATTTATAAATGATCGAGTTCTAAGGTAACAAATAAAAAAATACAACCGAAATTAAAATTTTCTTTTTCTGAAGTCGATTGAAAATATACTCATAGATTTAATTTACAGCACGAACGTCACAGTGAAAGGATTTCTAAATTACCACGAGAACGGAAGACAACGAGTTCGCGTGGGTGTAACCACCGGAAACATAGTAACGTTACTTATTAATAGTACAATATTAATATTCAAACAGAACTGATTTATTCGAGCAATTTGTCCCGTGATCACGCTCTCGTAAACAAATTTGTTACTACAACCCGAATCCGTCCTTATTTACGAAGCCTGAAGTATTTATAAGCTAGAATTAACTTCTTTATTGACAACCGAACATTGTTTCTGAAATGGCTGAAGCACTACAATTCGTTAATAGTACATACATAATATATGATCTATCGCAATACTCGACTACCAAAATTTAAAATATTAAATATATAATAAATTGTCTAATAATGTTAAAAATTTGACCAACACACAGTTTAGGAGAAGATTGTTTGATTACTTAATTGATGGTTGTTTCTATTCTGTGAAAGACTTTTTTAATATTTTTTTTTTTAATACAACTTAGAATGTCAAACAAGCTGACGGTCCACATGATGGAAAGTGGTAACCGTCGCCTATAGACATGAGTAGTACCATGGACATAACAGAGTATACTGTTTCGCCCATAATAATCCCCATGCGTTGCCATTCCTGAGGACTCAGGTGTTATTCCTCTGTACCAAGTAAATTCAGTAGATAAAATAAAGTAGATGTAATTTGTGATACTTGACACTGTAAAAGCATAACATTGACTTATTATTTGTGATTGTTATTTGAAGTAATTGGTTTTGTTGATGTTATTATGAATATTATTATGAATATTGTAAAAAAAAAAACATTTACACACCGAAATGGTAAACATTGCTGAACAATTGTAACTTAAGATCTGCTACTGGCAATCACGAATATTTTGTAAATAAATTATTATTATTATTAAAAAAGGAAGGTAATAAATTATAGCAAATTAGAGCCTACAGTTTACATCGAACCAGGTAACAAAAATCTATGGCCACAACCTAGAACATTTTAACTCGAAGCAATTTAAAAACTTTGTTTCCTAAATTAACTCGACGTAATGGTTTCGAACAATCGATTCTTCGTGTTAACGCATACCACTTCAGTTTTTCTACGAATATATTCACTTCAAATTCTATCAGTTGTTCTTCCAGTGACTTCTTTGTAGCTCAACGAATCGTAATTAACCATAATTTAGATTATCATCCGTAATTTGGATATAAGTACATGCAATTTTTGTATCATGGTCGCGTACAGTGCGGTATCAAAGAAATTTCTCCCATGTACACTAGAGCTGTAGAATGAGCTCTCTGCCTAAATTTAGCATAGAGACTACAGTATGGGGTTTTTTTTATACAACTTAGAATGGCAAACAAGCTGACGGCCCACCTAATGGAAAGTGGTAACCGTCGCCTATAGACATGAGCAGTACCATGGACATAACAGAGTATACTGTTTCGCCCATGATACCCTCCATGCGTTGCCATTCCTGAGGACTCAGGTATTACTCCTCTATACCCTATAATGTCACTGCCATATCTATGTGCAAAGATGGATGCGAAAAGAGTAAAGAGTAAGTATAGATAAATAAAAGTTATTATAATTACTTCTTGTATAATATTTACTGTATTATTATTTCTTTATATTTTATACTACTATGAAGGCAAACAAACAGCAGCTCGTCTGATGGTAAACGGAGTTACCATAGCGTATGGACACCTGTAACACCAGCGTTGTCACGTGGGCATTGCGCACCCTTAAGACACCTTAATACGCTCTTTTTGAAGAACCCCAAGCTATAGTCTTTAGAGAAAGCCACTTCAAAAAGATTATTCCACAACCAGAGTGGTCGCGGGAGGAAGCTCCTCTGAAATCGCATTGTACGTGATTTTTTTGGTTATAAGGTGTGAGGTATTATTATACGTTTGAAATTATCCAAGTGTGATAAATAAATAAAACTTAATAAAGTTATTTCCGGGATCAGTTACAGGGTACAGAGGAATAACACCTGAGTCACCAGAAAACCGGGATCCAAAGTACTCATGTTGTATATTTTGTATGTTTAATTAATAAATAAACTGCCAACCTATGCTTATATTAAACTATATTAAAATTGATGCACTATTTAAACTGAAAGCCAACTACAATAAAGGACTCATTCAATACACCCGTAACAGGAGGCAATAATTTCCGGGATTGACCGGGCAACCCTAAAGAAATTGTCTAAATGATATTATGTCGAACCATACGCGGTCCTAGTTCATTTCGCCGTGTAACAATGCGAAGCGTTTGTTTGAATTTCGGTTTCGAGATAATGGATTGATTGAACAATAAATATTTCATTTCGCCGGCGCGACGGGGTACGGGGAGGGTTGCCAACTCACTGAAATTGGCTGAACGTCATGTTAACCTGTATTGATTGGATTACGTTAAAAATAAAGTTGCTGTTTGCATAGAATTTCGGAGTAGATTCGATTTCATTTAAAATTTAAAATGTAGAAAACTATATAGAAATTATTTATACTCTGTACACTGTGGTATGTTGTGGGTGACAGGTTACTAAACTAATTAAAAATATTATTAAATTTTAAGTTTAAGAGAAACTGGTTGATAATTAACGTGCTTTATATTGTAGTTCTCTTTTATCACATCTTCATCAACATAAAGGAAAACATAAAGACTCTCTTTTTTTATACAACTTAGAATGGCAAACAAGCTAACGGCCCACCTGATGGAAAGTGGTAACCGTCGCCTACAGACATGAGCAGTATCATGGACATAACAGAGTATACTGTTTCGCCCATGATAAACCCCATGCGTTGCCATTCCTGAGGATTCAAATGTTATTCCTCCGTACCCAGTAAATTCACGCCATATCCCACCCTCAAACCGAAACACAGCCACCGAATGACAGACTTGTAAAAACATAAGACAATAGAAAATCCGTAGAAAAATATAAAAGGCGTATTATGATGGCCAGATATACGCCACAAGGTCGAACTGTTATAAAGAATCAATAATGATTTGTGAAACATGCCATTAGATAAAGTAAAGCAAATAAGAAAATTCGAAAATTAATGTAATATTAATTAATTAATAATTATTAATTAATTTTAAATATTTTTAGTTATTTACATTCTTCGGTCATTAAATTATTTTAGTCGCCTCTTACGACACCCACGGGAAAGGAAGGGGTGGCCTTTTCTATACCGAGACCACACGGCCTTACGGTGACATTTATAAACATATAAATTTAATTTATAAACTGTTTTTAAAAATCTAAGAATTTCATTTATATTGATTTTAAATAAAATGTCGATTTTTATAGACTAAAATTTTCATTACTTTGTTAATATATATTTAAAAAAAAAAACTAACTGATTTTCCTGCCTTTGGTCAAACTATTATTATTCTTCTCTATCTAAAGATTGTCTGGAAGAGATCGCTCTTAACAATAAGGCCACCTACTGTTTTCTCAATGTAATCTTTTCTTAAATAACCAACACAAGATACAGCGAAACATTTCAATAAAATACACTAGTAAATTAAGGTTTTACATTTAGAAATAACCACAGCATGCTAATTAATAACCAATAAGTACATGTATCCATTTCTAACAGGTTTACTAACGTAATCTTTTGGAGGATTCAATAAAAGTTATCTATTTCTCTATCTACTTTTTGTACACGAATATATTGCGACATTCAATAATTCACTGGTCACTATATCTACTAATCATTAGTGTTGTTCAGATTACAACAACGATATAGCTTGATAAATACACCATAATAATGCCATAACATAAACTTATCGAATGGCGTGCAATATTGGCAATACTCTTAAACCTATGATATTAATATTCCCCATCTACTTGCAGCTTTTAATAACGTCATTTATAACCGTTTTCGGCCTACTTCAGATTATATTAAAGGCCGTCACGTGGTGATAAAATGATGGTTACTGTTTCTAATTTATTTTTCTAGTCTTATTGATATTTTAGTGTAAGAACGCACGTGAAATCATCATGGCTCAGTGATGTCTTACCCCAATTTATAATATAGACCTCTAACGACATGATTTTAATACTACATAATACAGCAATATGACTACATGTACAAGTACATAGATATTTTTATGTCCTATATCATCATTATCATTGTCAGTCCACTGCTGAACATAGGCCTTCTCCATAAGGAACGGTCCTGAGCCACCTGCAACCACTGAGTCTGTAGTACATTATACTAAAAAAAAATAATGTCTATACACGTGTGATATTATGATATGAGAGGTCTTAATAACCAATTAACTTAATGACCAATAGAAGAGGAAGACTTTGTACAAAAGTCGATTGCTTGGGTACCTCTGTCCCATTCGTGTTTCAATCGTAAAGCAGTTGTGTTTGCATAGCTGTGTTTCGGTTTGTAGGGTGGGATACGGCGCGAATTTACTGGGTACGGAGGAATAACACCTGAGTCCTCAGGAATGGCAACGCATGGGGTATCATGGGCGAAATATTATATTCTGTTATGTCCATGGTACTGCTCATGTGTATTGGCGACGGTTACCACTTTCCATCAGGTGGGCCGTCAGCTTGTTTGCTCAAACGATAATTTTTAGAAATTTTGCCTGTCTATCTATATATTTGTTCCAGCATCTCGCTAAATTCCACACCAAATTGCCGTTTTTATAGTTGTAATCCCTGAATGCCTAAATTAAAATGTGGTATATAATTTACTTCATTACTTTCTTCTGAAGCCATGTGTATGAAGTAGCGAGCAAGTAACTAGTGTCCTATATAAATACACAGGACTTCATGATTCATATTTCTGGCATCAAGTAGCTGTAAGCTTGCATGACTGTATTTCGATTTCAATGATAGAATATGACAGTGAAATTGCAGCATATGGAGATGTAACACATTAGTTCTATAAAGGTAGTAATTGTTAGTAATGAGTATCTAAAAATACCATTGCTAGCAATATACCTTACCAGATATCGACCTCCACGTAGTTCTCACTGGAAACCATCGCGGCAAATTCTTTTTAAATTCATCATAATGAGTTAACTGGTTTATTTTTACTTTTTATTTTGTATATTCAGCCCTAGATGACATAGAGCATCGAACCTCAAAAACAGGTCTACTTTTTGTCAGCTAATTGTCAAGTTAGCTGACTCGTTTTTTTATTATTGCTCTATATACTTAAGCACACAATGTACCTTGACATATGTATATTTAATTATTTAATAAATAAAATTAGTTATTACGTATTAAGAAAATGCACAAATTATAAGACAAAATAAATATAGGAATTATAAAGGAATTACTCATAACTATTTATCACGCAAAATTGTATAAAAAAGTTGACCCGTTTTTCTCGAAACATTTGTATAGAGACACTTTATCTATATAATCTAAACTCCAGCATATACAAAAATATTTTATTTCTTTCTTAAAATTATCATATATATATAAATGGATTTAGTACACATACCTAATAGAGGATGGCCTTTCAGTTGGCCTTACAAGGGTAAGCATTTGAAAAAATAGCATATTACTTTTTAAAAGACCGGCAGCACACCTGCAATTCCTCCGGTGTTGCGGGCGCTTATGGGCGGCGGTAGTCACTTACCATCAGAAAAGCCACTAGCTTATTTGTCCCCTATATAATAATAAAAAAAGTCGAAATAGAATGTACGATGTTATAGACAAATATCTATATTTCAGAGGTGGCTGAACAAGGGCCAGGGTTGGCGTTTGTCGTATACCCGGAGGCAGTTTTGCAGATGCCTGTGGCGAGGCTATGGTCTATTCTCTTCTTCTTTATGCTGTACGTCTTGGGTATTGGTAGCCAGTTTGCTGGCATTGAAGCTATCAACACAGCTATTGTGGATCAGTGGCCACATTTCAGAAAAAACTACTGGATGGTAATTATAAGTCCTAATTCTAATTAAAATTTCACTAGAGGTAGACTTTGTACAAAAGTTGATTGCTTGGGTACCTCTGTCCCATTCGTATTTCAACCGTAAATCTGTTGTGTTTGCATAGCTGTGTTTCGGTTTGAAGGGTGGGATATGGCGTGAATTTACTGGGTACAGACGACATAACACCTGAGTCCTCAGGAATGGCAACACATGGGGGGTATCATGGGCGAAACAGTATACTCTGTTATGTCCATGGTACTGTTCATGTCTATAGGCGACGGTTACCACTTTCCATCAGGTGGACCGTCAGCTTGTTTGCCATTCTAAGTTGTATAAAAAAAATTCTCACTATAATATTATAAATACATATTAAAGTGAGTTAGTTTGTTTATTACTTTGTTACTTTATAGCGCCCTAATGGCTTAACCAGTCACTATGAATTTGGTATACATGTACATGAAATGGAGAAGGCTATAGGTTACTTTTTATCTGGGTCAGTAAACATATCCTGGTCTTGCGGATGAAGTCAAGGGTGTAAGCTGGTAATAAATATCTTCGAGCATATTATAGAGCAACTTCTAGTCCCAATTACTGTGTGGTCCCGGTATAGAATATGCCAGCCCTTTCTTTCCCGTGGGTGTCGTAAGAGGTGACTAAGGGAGGGCAAGGGATGGGCTGTAGTGTCCCTCTTAAAACATCTCCTAACTGCGATTGCCAATCTGCCTGACAAACGTGGCGACTACTGACAAAAATAACCCAAAACGGAGGCTTCTATTCAGCAGTGGACGTTATTCTTTATTCTTTATTGTACACAAAAGGTTATTGAAATGTAAAAACAAACATAATAGTGCACAAAGACGAGCTTATCAGCAATAGAGATTTCTTCCAGCAAACTCAATATGAAAAAACTGACAGTTTATTAGTAGTTACAGTCATAATTGTGTACTAATCGACTTTAATGTTATAGTTAAAAATAAATAAATAAAATGTATTTACAATTGAAAAGACCAATACATATAAATGATAGATATATATTATATATAATACACAAGTGTAATAAGTACGTACATCAGCATTTTTTTTATGGGTGAAAATGACATGGTAACTCCGCCTGCGCTAACGGGATATGCTGGCGGAGCACCAGAGAAGGGTGATACAGGAAAATGAAAACAGGCCAGTTAGCCCATCATGATGAATTCATCAAGAATTAACCATGATAGTTTCCAAGGGGAACCGCGAGAAGGTTGACCTGGTTGGGTATATTGCTAGCAATGGGATTCTCAGTCTCCATTACTAACAATCCCTTTCCCCCCAAATCGTACATCAGCATTGTGAGAGGTAATAATTCTTCAGACGTGATTTGAAAATCCCAATGCTTGGGCTATTTACGTTAAAGGCCGATATGATGGTGATCTAGTTCCAAATCAAACAGATCTAATATTATGGGTACTAGATAACTAATAGAAATACTTAAATAGTTTTTATCGTACATACGAGTAAAAGTCACTTATAATGGCTTTGCTAAACTTAATAGTTTAAATTAATATTTAACATTGGAATTTTATAGATAATTTTAGGAAATTGTACCTCAAAATCATTCTCAGGGATAGTTAAATAAATAAATTTGTCAATATATTTATATGTGTATATATATGTAGTACATATTATTTGTTATAATAAATAGTTTAATAAATAATAGGTATTTTACTATTTATGTGCATTATAGTTCTCCGTATTTTATGCACGTAAAAATTATTAATTCACTCTTACACCACCCACCCACTTCTATTTGTTCCTGTTTAACTAAAAAATTGGTCAGTAAGAGATTGCTCTAGCAATAAGACCGCCTTTTGTGCCTTTATGTATATATTTTTAATCTGTACTTTATACTACTGTATTTTACCTGAATTGTTATTGTTTATTTTTATGTTTACAATAAAGTGTTAAAATAAATAAATAAATTTTATATGTATGACCGCAGGTGACCGCTGCCACGTGTTTTACATGTTTCATCCTCGGGTTGCCGATGTGTTTTAGCGGTGGCGTTTACTTATTTACGCTTCTAGACTGGAACACGGCCTCGTGGGCCATCCTTTTAATTGGTATAGCTGAGGTGAGATCATTTATTGTATCATCATCTTCATGCTCTTATCCAAATTATTTGGTGTTAATGTAATGGTCACATAGCTCGAAGAACCGACAACCGTTGGGAAAGAAAGATTCTAGATTGACGACTGTGTACGAGCAAACGCAGTGTAGGACGACCCCCACTAAATGGAGTGGCGACCTGAAATGCATTGCAGGAAGTGAATGGATGCAAGTGGCTCAGGACCGTTCTTTATGGCAATCTATGGGGCAGGCTTATGTCCAGCAGTGGACGGATAATGGCTGAAATGATGATGAAAGTAATGTAATTTTATTCATATTTTATCCAAGGTTTTGCCTTTTAGTTTAATGAAATGCCTCCTCTCTGACGTCAACCCTCCTTGGATTTTTTTTGTTTATGTACATTTCCTTAAATTTTTTTTTGTACTTTTTTATCTCTGAATAGTTCCGTTCGGTCCCGTTATGGGCCACTCCTTCCTTTTCCGTGGGTATCATAAAAGACGACTGAGGGAACTTAATGGTCGATGGATGGGCTGCAACGTCCCTCCTAAAACAGCAACAAAGCCTAACAACAGCTGCCAACCGGCCTGCCAAGCGTGGCAACTACTGGCAAAACTCCCTTATAGGGAAGGCCTATGTTCAAAAAAGGAATACACTAGTGTAAAAGAAAAAAAAGAAACGCTACGAAAGTAATCTAAGAAATTAAACGCTAGGCATGTCAAATTGTATTACTCCGAGTATGCCTGTTTGGCCTGAAGTAAACAAATAAATAAACAGCCTTGTTATCGTAGTAAGACTTGACTAATATCATTGCTAACAATAATAAAATTAAGCTCTAATAACATCACAAGTAATACAATGTAATTACACAATTTCTACTAATACAAGATATGGAAAGAACACTAATTAACACTTGTTCATTTACTAACATCGATTTATATTCTTCTAAGTGTTATCCTGTTTTTTTATGAATGATAATGGAATGATAACCCCGCTAGAAGTATCGATATTCCAGAGGGAGACTTTGTACAAAAGTCGATTGCTTGGGTACCTTTGTCTTATTCGTGTTTCAACCGTGAAGCAGTTGTGTTTGCATAGCTATGTTTCGGTTTGAAGGGTGGGATATGGCGTGAATTTACTGGGTACGGAGGAATAACACCTGAGTCCTCAGGAATGGCAACGCACGGGGGGTATCATGGGCGAAACAGTATACTCTGTTATGTCCATGGTACTGCTCATGTCTATAGGCGACGGTTTCCACTTTCCATCAGGTGGGCCGTCAGCTTGTTTGCCATTATAAGTTGTATAAAAAAAAATACGCTAACGGGACACCAGAGAGAGAGAGATGTGATAAGCGAGGGTGGAGCAGGTCAGTTGGCCGATCGTGATAAATCAACAACAGAAATTAACCACGGTGGTTTCCAGGGAGAACTACGTGGAGATTAACCTGATGGGGTATATTGCTATAAATGGGAGTTTTAGATCCTCCTTACTTACAATTGATTTCCCCCTCCTGCTAAGGTATATATATATATATATATATATATATACCTTAGTAGAATGAGTACTAGTACCTTAGTAGAAGAACATTGTTTAAAGCTTTTCCCACTTTTCTATTTCCAGAGAAATAAAACCTCTGGTTTTTGAAGGAAGAGGGGGAGGACATTGATAGTAATGCGAACTACCTGTCCTATTGCTAGCAATCACTTCCACGACGTTCCCCCGGAAACTTCTAATACTGAATTCTAGGAATGTTCATCACGATAGGCTAACTGGCCTGCCTGAAAAGGCAAAAGAAAGAAATTTCTCATCTATTATCCACCATTGGTAGCCCGCCAGCGTACACCGTTAGCGTAGACGGGGTTACCATTCCATTATCATCCATTATAAAAAAAACTTTTATAATGTAGTAACTTTGTGCACGACAAATCTACCACATTATGATTTTTTTTCATCATGAATTTTTCATCATGCATATTTTATATTAGACATTTTTTTTTGTCCAGTGTATCGCAGTATCTTGGAGTTACGGCATCAACAAAGCTCTAAACGATCTAGCAGATATGAAGATGAAATTGAACAAATTCCAGACGATTTACTGGAAAATTGTTTGGACGGTTATCACCCCAGTCACCAGTCTGGTCAGTTTCCATTTTTTTGTTTTTTCGCACAGCGACATCTAGTGTCAAATTAAGCAATCCATGTACTATGAATACTAGAAAACTGAAATAAATATTTAATTTGTTTTTTTCTAGCAACTTATTATACGGTTATTTGGAAGAGAGCGCTTTAGCGATTAAACCACCTTTATATATTATATATTATTATTTTGTATTATAATATAATAATAAATTAATAAAAATACATAAATATAGCCAAAACTGAGACAAAAAATTATTCATGACTACAATAATGCTGGAACCGAAGCGGTATCGAACCTTAGAAGAGATTTTGCGTCACTCTGTATGTTCTACCGCTTGTACAACGGATTGTCCTAAGGGGAATTGTTCAATATGATGCCCACGTCCACTTTCTACTATCGTACAGCCTGTCATCGACAGGGAGTTCACCCTCATACTCTACAGTCTAAATGGTCGCATACAAGGTTTCAGAGATGTTTTCTCGCATGAACACTCAGGTAATAGAATGAGCTCCTTGTTGAAGTTTTCTCAAGAGACTACAGCATGGGGTTCTTCAAAGAGGGAGGGAGGGGGAGGGGAGGTACGGAGATTTCTTTAGGATCGGAAACGCGCACGTCGTGCCTCTGGTATTGGCTACGATAACCGGTTACTATCAGGTGGACCGTATGCTTTTTGCCCACCTCAATGGTATGAAAAAACCGAACTGCAACAATTAAAAAGTGAAGCAATGTTTTAAGCCACTACACCGTCAAGACCTTTAACATTAATGACTAGTCATAACTATCCGTTTGAAATTAAATTATATTTCCAGAAAGTAATATGACTACGTACTACTATAATTTAGTTCAGCATAATTTAATTATCCAATTAACAATAATACTATAGTAAAAAGCAAATAGATAGATACATTATTCATTTGCAATAGATACAACACACAAATGACAACATACATAGATAGTTATACACAAAAAAAAATAAGATAAAAGAATACATATACAAAAAGAGGAGATTACTTAAAAGACGAGACACAATTTAGTAGATATAGATATCAATCAATCAATGAATAAAAAATCTTTATTCATGAACATCTGTTACAGACTTATATGATACGTCATTTTACAATTATAATAATTACAATATAAAATAATATTGATATAAAAAAATTATAATAATTACAATTACAATGCACTTCACATGAATACTGTATTCAAGTCCAAGGATTTTTATCTTTAAATAGATAGATACATACTCTTTGTTTCCTCCAAAAGATTACAATAGTAAACTTATAAATATAAATATAATAATTATATTTATATTTATAAAATAATTATAAAATAATAAATAATAATAATAATAAAATAATTATAAATATAAATAATTACAAGAAATAATCACAATGAGAAAACAATGGGCGACCTTATCGCTAAGAGCGATATCTTCCAGTCATTTATTTTATAATATGCTTTATATTGCTATATATATTATTGTTTCCTCTAAATTATTGCATTAGTAAACTTCTTCTTAAAACAAACAATTACAATATTACACTATTATTAAAGTAGTCTTTATTATGTATTATTCGAAATATTCTAAGAAGATTTGGAATATTATTACATAATTTATGTACAATAAAGTATAAATAAATAAAAAATAAATAAATAAATACTATTTACCAAAATGAATCTTATTATTCTGAATAATTTTAACTGCTCATACATTAAATATAAGAAACGCTACATTTTGGGATAAATATTCAAAGGGATTTGTTTATATTAATTATGAATCTAAAACCACTTAGTATTGTGTTATTCCACAAATTCATTTTAATTGAAATCTGATCGGGGTCCCCTTCAGGGATAATGATCTAATGGCTATACGAAACACCGTTACGATCAAAATAAAATAAATTTGCAAAGTAGCTATAAATTTTAATTGAAAATTCCATCAAATTAACTCCAACAAGTAGATACCGGTATCAAATACTATTAATTACAATTCATATTTATATATATATATATATATATATATATATATATATATATATATATATATATTTATATTATTTTATATATATATATATATTTTTAATTTAATTTAATTTAATTTTTATGTCAATACATAAACAATAATTCTAATACATTGACTAATTCATAATAATGATTCACTTTTTTTTATAGCTTACCACCCAACATGTTCCTAATATATTTATATAATTACTAACTATATCCCAAGGTTTTTTCCACGAATAAATCAGTACATAAAGTATTCTATGTGTTAAGCTATAGAATATAACCTACTTATGTACAAAATTTCACCTTCGCGGTATAAAAAAACAGTTTTTATACTACATAGTATAAAATAAAGTCGCTGTCGCTGTCTGTCCGTACCTATGTACGGTTTTTTTAATAGATAGTGATTTAAGAGGAAGGTTTATATGTATAATATCGTAGAGAAACACTGATAATTTTAGAGATTTCTAATGTGATGAGATGTAGTGTGCACCCGTGCGAAGCCGGGCCAGCTCGCTAGTATATATGTATATATATATGTATCAATTGTTCGTGTAAGACCAAAAGTGAACCCCGAAAGCTTACGCTACAAATTTAATAACTTTTTTTTAATAAATCCCCACATTAGCATCCAGAGATAATATCAAACCCTTCTCGTTATGGCTCATGGCTCGCAGTAAAATTAGTTACGTACGCTAACTCAATAACAAGGGATTAATTAAAATTAGCACAATGAAACCGGGCGGTTAAGGAACTCACGTTAACAAAACAAAATGAAATTCAATCAAAATTATAATAAAATACCGAGTGTCTTAACCAGAAACACTTTGTTTTCTGTCTATTTTGAAAATGAGTAATTCGCAGCTTGGGCGCCGAATGGATAACACTAGGCCCCGAGTTATAAATTTGTCTGAAGATACCTTGTTTAGAAGTAAAACACGTGTCGCAAAACGTGCGTGAACGTATTAGCGGTTGGAAATAAATAGGTAATATTCAAGGTTGTAGAATTTTTGATTATAATAATAGTAGTCAATTTTTAAAGATTGGCAGTCGCACGCATACCTACTAATGGTAGCGGAATTAAACAAAATAATTCTGCAAAATAATACTCAGTTCAGTAAAATATTTACAAACGAGTATATACTACCAACAAATGCATTCCCAATGAGGTTTGACGTCAGGCAGATAACCGGTCGTAAAACTAAAAATCAAAACAATAGATAAAATAATAATTTAACCTCTGGTAATAATAATAGTAGGCAATTTTCGAGTGTTGGCAGTCGCATACATACTAATGGTAGCGGAATTAAACAAAATAATCAAATAACCAGTAATATAGTCACCTAGTTCGGTAAAATATCTGTTTTGTAATGTCAGCTGTCAATTGTTCTATACTTATATACGCTTTATGCACTTCCTCATAAAATGCTATAATAATTGTTCCCGTTTCTCCTACATGCAATTACCCTAAATACATTTGAGTATAAACGGCTTCACCCGTGGGAATTAGAATATAAAGTATCCTATGTGCTAAGTTAAGATATAACCTAACTATTTATCGTATGCCAAATTTCATTCGAACTCGTTTAGTCGTTTTTGCGTGAGAGAGGAACAAATATCTATTCACATATCTATCCATCCATCGCTACAAACTTTCGCAATTTAATAAAAACGCCGTTCTAAACTGAATACAATACAGGATGTTTTAAGTATTAATATCTTCCGCCGCTCGGAGTTTTTTTTTTATGTTTTATTTTTATACAACTTAGAATGGCAAACAAGCTGACGGCCTACCTGATGGAACGTGGTAACCGTCGCCTATAGACATGAGCTGTACCATGGACATAACAGAGTATACTATTTGGCCCATGATACTCCCCATGCGTTGCCATTCCTGAGGACTCAGGTGTTATTCATCTGTACCCTGTAAATTCACGCCATATCCCACCCTTCAAACCAGAACACAGCTATGGCCAGCCACAACCACAACTGCTTCACGGTTGAAACACGAATGGGACAGAGGTACCCAAGCAATCGACTTTTGTACAAAGTCACAAAGTATGGAAGAGTTTTACCAGATCCCTCTGGTGAAACTCTTCCATATTTCATCTATTCATTTCAATGCATTCGATATTTCTATTAGAAAATAAACATTTCAAATATATATTTATTTTATTTTAAAAATTTACGTATTTAAATAAAATTTAGTGAAAGCTATTCAAATTAATATTTTATCATAGAGTAGAAATATTTTTCTGTACGATATTTCATAAAATGAAATGTTTTTCTGCTTAATACTCGTATTTATGACCAAACTTGGTATGCATTATCTGCTCATCTACATTTAGTACAGCTATTTTAATTAAATAAACACTATTGAATATGTTAGAATTTATATTTACTAAAGACGTCTACTTGCCGTGTGGTCCTAGCACAGAATAAGCCAACCCTTCCTATCCCGTGGGTGTCGTAAAAGCCGACTAAGGGAGGGCGAGGGATGGGCAGCAGCGTCTCTCTTAAAACATCTGTAAAGCCTGACTGCGGTTGCCAATCCGCCTGCCAAGCGTGGCAACTACTGGCAAAACCCTCCAAAGGGAAAGCTTATGTTCAGAAGTGGTCAGTTAAAGGCTGATATTATGATGATGATGATGATGATGATGAAATATGTCTACTATACTATTGATAGGAATATTTATATATTTGTTTATTTTACACTTTATTGCACTATTTATAAAAATAATACAGTAAATTTTAATGGCAAGATAGGCTGTTTTATCGCTAAGCAATCTCTTCCAGGCAGCCATAATATTTTTTCTAAATACAAACATATATTAAAAACACCTAGTACAATAAAAAAGTCATATTTTTACATATAAGTGTGTGAACTATGCGTATATTAAACCTGTGACCATCGGAAGGTGAAGTGATTCGTGAGTTCGCTATCATTACTTCACCAAAATCAACAATTTACAAAGCTAATTAGTTGCAATATATATTTAATAATAAAATTGTTTTGTTATTAATTTTATTCATTATTTTGTTAGGCCATCCTGATATTCATCTTTGTGGACTGGACGGCGCCGTCATACGAAGACTACGTTTTTCCTCTATTTGCTGACCTCCTTGGCTGGGCAATCGGCCTATCAACTCTAGTTCTGTTTCCAGTGGGCGTTTGCTGGGCTCTGTACCATGGATATGTAAGTATTTAATATTATTATTTGTATGTATATATGTATAAATTTTAATACATATATATTTGTATTAAAACGTTTTTGAGTATTTATGCAGTTCGCAAAAGTTGCTGCTAGAAAACACTATCAGCGTTAAGTCCACTTTTGTATTACTTTTTTACATTAATTATTAAAATGTAAGCCTTAAATAAAATATAATATATGTAAGTATAAGTAATTATTAAATTTTCAAGATTGATATCTAAAATAACATTTTAATGAAGAATAAATTTTTAATCTAAAAATAAATGAAAAATATAGATAGAATATCTAAAATTATAGTCGTATGTACATATATACTAACTAATTAATATCCACGGATTTGCTCGCGTGAATCAATTTATAAATATTCTATATGTTAAATTACCTTATTCTACGGTATGTTAGAAATAACAACTAAATTTTATTGAAATCTATTCAGCTTTTTAAGGATGATTGAATAACAAATATACAAATAACTTTGCATTCTTTCCCACTAATGTTCTATTTTAAATCATATTATTTTCCAGCACGGCAAGGACCTCTTCAAGCCAACATCAGCATGGCGGCCAGCCGTCAGGACGCTGGACGTCCCAAGATCTGATTCTATCATGACCGTGGACTCGATACAAACGGAAGGACCCTACGACAATATCGGACATATCATGTGATGACTAGATAATAAGTTAATAAAATTAGGTATTAATTATAAAATTAGAATAAACGCTTTAATGTTAGTAGCAAGAGTCTAAGTTATTAACGGAAAAGTATTATAAAACTACAGAATTTTTTGTACAGTTTTGAAAGTCTATAATGTACCACATCATTCATCGTCATCATATCAGCCATTAACTATTCCACTGTTGAACATAGGCCTCCTCCTTGGGGATTTATCCAGTAGTTGTTACACTTGTTAGGTGAGTTGGCAAACGCAGTTGAGCTTTAGTTATGCTTTAAGAGAGACGCGTCCCTCAGTCGCCTCTTACGACACCCACGTGAAAGGAAAAGGTGGCCTATTATATGCCAGAAACATACGGGAATGATTATAAAGTACCATATGGCATACTAATATATGTAAGTAAATAGTGTTATTCGGGAACATCGCAACAGTTAGCAGAAACAATAAATACTGTAATGTTGATAACTAGCATCTTAATTACTATAAAATCCAAAATAAAATAAAAATAATGAAAAGGTCGTAAATGCTACAAACTGGTAAAAAATAAAGTACCATGGATAACACAGTGTAGTATGTTATATTTAAAATAAGTTTACTGTTGTAATCTTTTGGAGGAAATAATAAAGAGTATCTATCTGTTATGTCTATAGGCGACTATTACCACTTTCCATCAGGTGGGCCGTCAGCTTGTTTATAATTCCAAGTTACTTAAAAAAAATTATTGGTTAATATTTAATCGTTTCTCCGAAAAATATAAAAAAAAATATTTATACTAACTATTAGTAAATAATCCAGAATATTTTAAAGCTAAAATCTAAACAATTAATAGATAATTATTTCAAATAATAATAATAATAAGTGCCATATAACCCTGATAATGCCTGACCCTCAAGCTAGAAGACACTGCTATGAAAATCAGGCAATAAACATTTGGAGGTACAATCCCTAACACCCAGACATGAGCCAATACAGAAAAGCTCGTTTCATAAATTACCCTAATTGAGGAGTAGAAAATTTGGATAAATTTTACCGTGAAAAACATTACTATTGGTGAAAAAACTAGCTCAATTTTGGCTAAGCAAAAAATATTAAGTACTATTACTTACTATTACAGCAATATTGGTCTAGTAATCCTATTATTATAATAAATACAAAAGTTGGTAACGAAAAATTTATAAGTGGATGGAAGTTACTCTTAGATGCCAAAACTACTGAATAGATTTGAATAAAATTTGATATACGGATAGATTATATTCTAATTTAACATACAGAATATTTTGTATACTGATTCACGCGAGTAAAGCCGCGGGATACAGTTGGTTACATTATGATTATTTAGTACAAGTATTTACTAGTTACTTTGTTCGCATCGAATTAGTCTTCCCTCAACCAATAGACTGTGACCACTCATAACGAGAAGAAAGTAAAACTGTTTAATTATTGTTATTTTTTTTTATTTCATAAAGTTATTTAATCATTATCACCATCAACTAATCATTCTTCGCTTTACTATTTATACTTAACTTACAATATTTTGTACAGATTTAGCCATTTCAGTAAAACAATCAAACAATATTACAAAAATCACTGTAAATATGTATATACGAAGCGAATAGTATGATTTTTATAAAAGATTAATGGTTAATTAATTTATTAATGGGCTATATTAATGTATTTTTTTATTATTTTTTTATTCAACGAACTTAGTAAGTTTATGAATTTTTTGTTAATTAATATATATTATATATATATAATTGTATAAAATTCGTTAAGTTTTAAAAATAAGATATGTAACTGTTATTAATTAACTTTTTAGTATTTTACAAAGTACAGTATCCATCAATTAGAAGATAAGAAATATATTTTGATCTGTGAAATATTTCATTTAATAATAAGTTAATAATATATAAGTATTAAGATAGACCTCGCTGTGGTATTGTGTTCTAATTATGTATTATTAAAATTAAGAATTAGTAAATAATATAACAAAATAAAGGATTACTAATTTCTTACATAAAATTTTATTTCAATACTTAAACATTTAAATACATCTGTGCACATATTTCACAATAACAAGAAATATGACCCACCTCGCTGAAAAGATAGAAAAATCTCTTTCTTTCTTCTTTTATCTATCTCTTTTTCTACATAAGAGCTGTGGAGAGTTAAAAGACCCATTTTACATAAATTATAATTGAATTTGCTTTGCATAACCCGCCAAATTTAAATTAACAGAGTAGTAGATTTACATCGATGAGTTAAAAAAAAAAAATATATATAATGATTCATGTAAAATGTGTTTAAGCCCCCTGAAGACTTTATACGAAGTTTTATATAGGGGTTTTCTTTCACTTGTATACTATATACCTAATTCTTCTACTGTGAGTATTAAAACAAAATCTACGAAAACACATTTTTTGATACAACACAATATTACAAAATAAAAGAAATATCTCGTACCTGAACTTGTATGAAATCTAAATAAAGAAAACTTCTACTCCAATAACAGCTCTACAGTGGTGACATTTACTTCAAATACAAGAAGTAAGAGGTAGCGTATAGCACATTACTAATAAATAAATAATAAACATTTCGTAAAATTTCAAATAATTTGAGTACTAAATTTAATGAAAAAGTTCATTAAATCAGAGGCAACTCAAATATTAAGAACCAAATATATTTACTTGTAATATACATGATTCTACATTCTAAATTCAAATATTTTAAGATTAATGTATTTTTTAAACATCAATCGATGTTTGAAATGCATAATCATTTCAAATATGAAAATAGTAAAATTAATAATATAAATATGGAGAGTAGAGGTAACGAGAACTATAATTATGTAATTCATATAAGGGAACAGTAGCAATAATGTTCATTTATAAGCTTTAATAGTTACAAATTCTTCTAGAATGACGCTAGAATAGCAAAATACTATGAAATGAAACAACAATATACAAAATGTCAATATTTGCATAGTCCAAAATAGTATATTAACGCTTCTTTTAAAATTTGCCCAACTGCTACCAGAACGCACACTAATTTAAGAAATTTTAAGTAACATGTTTAAAATTAATTGTACTTAACATTATGTTTGTGTACAATAAAGAAAAAATTATGTTTTATTGAATTAGGCGTTATTTTGCGGAATTCCATATCACTGATTATTTGATGAGAATTATTTTGTTTAATTCCGCTAACATTAGTATGCGTACGACTGCCAACATTCGAAACTTTACTACTATTATTATTACCAAAGTTCTACAAACTTCCATATCAGCCAATCAATCTGTAAAAGCCATTTTGTCCACTCACGTTTTGTGACACAAATTTCACCTCTAAACAAGGCATCTGCACGTAAAATAATAGGTCGCTGCTACTTTTAATTGATACTTTTATACACAGAGAAGTTTCTCCCTACCTCTACTCTCTGTACAATATTAATTTTCTCATGAGAAAAGTTACTGTTTTTTTTTTTGTGGAACAAATTCTGTTTGTCTAGAGCTCTTACATAAGACAGTCTCGATTAACGTTTAAAAGGAGGAATGGAGAATACAATAGAGAACAACGTAATAAAACAAAATTTCCTTTACATTTTTATGGATTGGCTCCGATCGAATTTGAATTTCAATTACCGTTTAGAATCCAGTGGGAGCTTATAGAATGAACCAGCTCTAGGTACGCTTCAATAAGTCTGTCTTGTAAGAATGTACTGCAGAACTTGTTACATTAGAGCTATTTTACGATTGTAATATCGGAGCTCATACACTTACGCTGCACGGTGCCGGGGGTAAAAATTATTCTACGAACATTTTTTGATTCAATGTGTTGATCACATGTATATTATTACATCATATCTTATTAATATTTTTTTTTTGCAACTCAGAATGGTAAACAAGCTGACGGCCTAACTAATAAACTTGAGTATTCTGACACTTCCCTATGGTTGACTGGGAGAGAATGCTTTTAGCATTAAGTCCGCCATGTACACACATTTTTACTAATGAATGAATAAATAAAATGTGGTGACCGTCTCCTATAGACATGAGCAGTACCATAAACGTAACAGAGTATACTATTTCGCCCATGATACCTCCCATGCGTTGCCATTCCTGAGGACTAAGATGTTATGCCTCTGTACCCTGTAAATTCACTACTATATCATATATAACTAATCTTATTAATATAATAAAAATGTAACTTAACGATATCTCTATATAGGAGATATTTAAGAAAAATTAATATAAGGAATCTATTTGTCCAGCATAAAGCAAAAATTTCTGCACTAAATTGAATACGGCTTTCGATATCATGTTTTTGGAGGACTAGCTTAAAATCTGATGTATGTTTTATCTTTATATACTGTCTAGAAGTTGGTTAGCTAGTCCCAAAATCCAAAATAGAAGTGCACCAAGGTATAAGCAAAAGCTACTCATAGTTATGTAAATCCAAATAGTCAAACTATAACTTTATATATATAAAATAGTAAAATGTATTTAGTTGTTTACAATATTTTTATTTTTACTACTGTAAAAGTAAATTTCATTGTTATTGTTTTGATATTCACTTATTTTAATGACTGATTTCATCGAGATATATCGTCGACGACCTCTCTAACTTTAATTCAACACACATTAAAAATAACCGTCGAATAAAAACATCATTATTATTCGATGTCATTTAAATATTGTGGAAAAAGAGGTACAAACTTTATATGAAGTGAGAGCTATTACATAGATGAGTGATATCTGAAAGTTGTGAAAGTTATACTTAAAATTGCCATTAAGATTAAAAGAATGTTTAATTAAAAAGTTGGTAGCAATCAGAATGAATTTAACCGCGAATCCGCGGACGCTATCATTGTAGTCTAAGATCTAAGCTATGAGATCTTCTGCAGGTATAAGTGCAGAAGTCAGCTATGCTATGCTTTTTAATGAAACTTCATTTAAATGGAAAATAAACGAAAATACAATGCATTCGGTTTGCTTGCTCTCAATTAGCCAAAATGTAGGTGTTTGTAAAATATGCTGGTTCTTGTTTTGTATATATTATTTATTAATTATATTAAAAATGCCGTCTGTTGACTTGAAGTCTTGTATGTATTTTTTTGTTTTATTTCAATTGTTTATAAATATTCTTTTTTATAAAAAAAAAACTATAATTGTCAGTATATCTAAAAAAGGTTCATTTTGAACACTAGGTTTGTCAGGTGAAACTAGATAATAAGTTTAGTAAACTCATCATGTTTTTTGTATAAATTTACATTAAATGAAAGTTGATTCTTTTCTATACAGGGTAACATCCATATGTTACCTAAAAATAGCTGCAAATAGGGGTTGCCAGCATGTAAAGTTTTCGTTTTAAACTATGGTTTTGTAATTATAACGAATTAGTTTTTTTTTATTAAATCTAAACGGATTTTTTTTTAATTAAATCTAATCTACTCTCTATACGTCAACATGGGGTTGTCTATAAAAACGCCTGCAAGTAAAGGTACCATCTTGCAACCCTAACCACAGGTAATATGGTACTCTCTTACTAAATCCGGGTGTATTTTTCATATCTTCACTCATCTTTCATTAAGTCTTATACCTGCAGAAATCAGCAGCGAGGTCTTAGGCTATCAAGACTTATCCAGTTATTAAAGTCAGCCGCGAAGTAGGCGACAGATAATGAAATCCCGATCAAGGGGACTGAAGATACTTAAAGAATTTCTGTTATGATAAAATCCACATTAATTTTGTTCAATTTAAAACAGATTAAGGCAAAGATCCTGTTGGAGGGCTGGTGACATAATCAAATCTCAGTTGAATTGTTATATTTGCGTAATTATAATAAAAAGGTACAGTGGTGATGTTAAATGAAACTTGGAGATGATTGTATGTACTAAACATGAACATAATATTTTTTTTCTGTACTAGCGATTCACACTATATTATAGTGTTTTTTTTTTCTCTTATCAATACATATAATAAATCGTAACTGGTCATTGTCTGTACATGAAAGATATATAAGAAAAACTATTATGAATTGGCTTTATGAACGCAACAGAACAGTCTGTCTTGTTTGTCTGTTTGTTTGTGCATTTGTGCACACTAATCTCAGAAACGGCTTAACCAATTTCAATACAATATTCACTACTGTGTTGTAATTTACTCCACTTAACATTTAGTGTTTATTTTATTTCAATCGATTTATAAATAAAAAAATAAATATATTTAAAAAATCACATATAAAATGTTATAAAATAATCGCTTAGTTGAATTTGACTAAAACTTTTTTTTTATTATAAAATCAATTTTTAAAAATTCTGTCTACTCGTGCGAAGCCGAGTCGAATCGCTAGTTGATTAATATAATCTTGATATTAATAGAAATCAGTTGTACTCTACCACAAAATAGTGTTATAATAAATAAATAACAGGTTTCACCTTTTAAGGCATTTTCAAACTTTTCACGCTAGTTCTTTCCCATGCCAATCAATTGAAGGATGGCAGGAAATTAATAGCAACAAGTGGGTACATAGTATAAGAAACTACTATTAATATACTAAGCCTCTTCATTATTCTATTTTAATCAGTTAATCTCTTTTCAATTATTTAACAA